GATAGGACAGTCAGAAATTGGTTTGTAAAATTCCGTTTTAGAGATACGATCTTAAAAGATAAACCGAGTGCAGGACGTTTTTCCAACTTTGACGAACCTTTTAAAAAAATACTGGAGCAAAATCCAATAGATACGTCCAACAAATACAAAGAGTGCAAAAAAAAAACACCATGAAAAGTGTCCTGCACTTATTAGTGACAGAAACGTTATTCTTTGTCTCATAAAAATGGAAGTTATTTATGACTCGACCTAATATAATATTTAATTGAAATATTTATATCGATAAAAAAAGAAAAAGGTTAAAGATTATTGCGAGCATTCGTAACCAACCATTTGGCATCGATCCGATGACTATGACGTTTGCCTAATCGGTCTCAAGAGATTGATTGGTTTATTTTGCGTTGATGCGCAGCCATTGATATCAGTAGCACAGGAAACTACATTTCACGTTGTAATATATATATATATAAAGAGTGATTCAGAAAATTTCTAATAAATTTCATAGGAATATATTTCTATAATTAAAGTAATGAAAAATATTTATACAAATATGGGTCGTGAATATGTTTTATTTTTTCAGTTACAGTTAGTTAAATATTTTTCTCCTTTAATCATTTTGAAAGTAAAACAATGCGTCATAACATTTATGCGAATCTAATTAATAAATTTATATTTATAGTGATGTTCTTTTATTTATAAAGTAATAAATCAAAAACAATGTAAACTGATCGTTATTTTTATAAAATCATGTAAAATGCGAGAGAATATGTGAACAATTTTACGCGTTTGTATTAAACGTAAAAAAACAAAAAAAGAAACAATGACAGAAAAATGTTGAATATTTTTATAAATCTTTTCAATGATTTCACAATAAAGTAAAATAGATGTAATTACGCGTAAATTATTGTCATTGATATTAACAAAAAATAATTCAATAATTTATCGCTTATCAAAATAGTAAGTTGACAAAGAGAACGATTGACGTTATATGCCATAAATAATTCATTTGAATGAACAAATGACCATGATGATTTTACATCATCAACTGTTACGAATAAAAACGTGTTTATCAAGCCATTGTTCATAGAAAATTTCTTCAATACTTTAATATCGTAGAAATCAGTGAAATTTAAAAGAAATCTTCTGAAATATCTAGTATATATTATTTCGAACTGACATTGAATGCATTTTCTCTCTCTAACAATTATATATATATATATATATATAATATAATTCATTTAAGAAATTGTTTATTCATTTCTTATTCATCCTTTTAAATATTTATTTCACGATAAGGAATAATTGGTATAGTGTAAGATCGATTCTTTTATTATTATTATTATTATTATTATTATTATTTTATTTTTTTTTTTTTAATATCTCCAAAAGTATAATTAAGATAAGATCAATGTGACCCTCGATCAAAGGCAGTGTGAACATTAACGAAAACTTTGACATTCGAACGAAGGCCGCCCATATTTTAATGACCCCATTTTCTAGGATTTCTTTTTTTTTTTATATATCTCGTCTAATTATAAATTCTATCTAATAATTATCTTTGTAACAACAACAAATATGTTTCATTTTGTTTATATAATATGTATATATATATGTTACGATCAATGTATATATATATATGTATACATTCCAGAGATTTTATAAAATGCCCAGAAAGTTTTGGTCAATCTACAAAATATCCTTCAGTTGATTGTATTTAGGTGTTCCTAAATGATAGAATTCCTAAGGGGTGGGGGTGAAAGGGTGTAGTTAAGGGCTAAGTGATTTTAGAAGGAAGAACAGCTAAACTCTTAACAAAAACCGAGCAACACGCTGATCTTTATAGTAATAGATATACAGTATATATCTTCAAATGATTAATTATTGAATTATCGTTATTTTTTATACAGTAGGAAGAACGATTCTCCCCTTAGGTTTTATTTGAGGATTGTGTCAGGGTTTTTTTTCTTGGGAAATATTTTTTAGGATTGTATTAGGATTGCACCAAGATTTCTTTTAAGATTTTTTTCATGATTTCGTTCACTATTGAAGAAATATTTAGCAAACTGTACACTTCTTTATGCGTTTCTTAATACTTGTTTGATAATTTTTTAAACATTCTATAGATTGACCGGACAATCTGTAGAATGCCTGTAATAATAAATACATTGAATGTAACATATAAATATATATTCTCTTACGTCTTATTTTTAATTGAGTTTGTAACGATCTAATTTTTTATATCGACCCTTAAAGAACTTCTATCAATTTTGTACGCTGATAACATACGATCTTGTGTTTCAAATTGAAATAAATGTTTTTATTTTTTATCAATAAATAAAATCAATTTCTACACTTCTTTTTTTTTCTTCTTCTTCTTCTTCTTCTTATTATTATTATTATTATTATTTTCAAATAAAGATATTCCTTTTTTGTAAATTAAATATATTAAATATAATCGCGATCGTTAAGATTGTTTGTATATTTTTTCGTTCCTTGTTTTGTTCTAATTATTGTTGTCTTTGAAAAAAAAGAAAAAGAAAAAACCCGTTAAAATAATCTTGATTTTTTTTCTTCTGATATTCATTGTACACGTGATTATAGCGACATAATTGTTCAAATGAATCTTCAAATTATGTCAATTTACTCGAAGATACGTTTTTTATTTTCCTCTTTACCTCGTATAATGAGATGTACGCAGTGTAACACAGTTAAGATAGTTCGAGCGTATATTTATAAAAAGATAGATTGTCTTGAAATTTTCATAATATATTCTTGAAATGACTGTTTTGAAGCTGGGACAAAGAAAACAGTACTGTTACCAGGTAAATTTAAAAAAAAAACAAATGAAAATAACAAATTGAACCCTTGTCGTGAGTTACGTTTATGGATGCAGTATACATAATACATGATAACTTTCTTCTAAAAAGACAGATTTTTACAAATGAAGGTGTAGTTATAAGATTTTTTAATGACAATTCTTATTGTCTTAAAATAATGACAGTTAGCCAGGCTAATTTATAAACAAAACGAGAAAAATCATTGTAAAACGAGGTATTTGCGCGTTGAGGAACGTCGTTTGCGCATGCGTTGAAGATCTGACAACATCGCACTTTGAAATGTAAGAAAAATAGCGGTGAATTGAAAACAGTTAAA